AAGAAGAAGAAGAAGAAGAAGAAGAAGAAGAAGAATGCAAGGGAGTGGAAGCTGCAACGGAAAAAAAATTAAAAAATTAAACGGCTATGGCTAACGGAGGAGGAGGAGAAGAAGACGAGGAGGAGGAGGGAGAAGAAGAAGATGACGAAAAGAGGGAGAAGAATAAGAGGAGGAGTAAGAAGAAAATGACGAAGAAGAAGGGAGAAAAGAAGCGGAGGAGCAGGAGGAGGAAGAAGAAGAAGATGACGAAGAAGAGGGAGGAGAAGAAGAGGAGGACAAAAATGACGAAGAAGAGGGGAGAGAAGAGGAGGAGGAGGAGGAGGAGGGGGAGGAGGAAGAAGAAGAAGAAGAACGCAAGCCGATGGCTAAGAGAGGAGGAGGACTAGAAGAGGAGGAGGAGGAGGTAGAAGAAGAAGAAGAAGAAGAAGAAGAAGAAGAAGTGGATGATGGCTATGACTTACGGGCGAGGAGAGTGACCACGAAGAGGAAGAAGAAGAGGGAGGAGAAGAAGAGGAGGAGGAAGAAAATGACGAAGAAGAGGGGAGAGAAAAGGAGGAAGAGGAGGAGGAGGAAGAAAATGACGAAGAATAGGGGAGAGAAAAGGAGGAAGAGGAGGAGGAGGGGGAGGAGGAAGAAGAAGAAGAACGCAAGCCGATGGCTAAGAGAGGAGGAGGAGGTAGAAGAAGAAGAAGAAGAAGAAGAAGAAGAAGAAGAAGAAGAAGAAACAAATCTGGGGGCGTGATACAGTGGCTCGTCGGTGGGGGGCGCGATGGCGCGGCTGGCTGTCGGAGGCGACGATGGCGATGCTGCACCCCGTAGGTAAGAAGAAGAAGAAGAAGAAACAAATCGGGGGGCGTGATTCAGTGGCTCGTCGGCGGGGGGCACGATGGCGCAGCTGGCTGGCGGAGGCGACGATGGCGCAGCTGGCTGGCGGAGGCGACGATGGCGATGCTGCACCCCGCGAAGACCTACTGACGATGGCGCGGCTGCATCGAGTGGTGGCGCCGCTGGCTGTCGGAGGCAACGATGGAGCGGCTGCTCGATGCGTTTTCCCCTGCTGCGCGATTCGGTTTCCTGCCGGAACTGATTCAAAACAGTGGCCGATCCGTGCCGCTGATCTGCGACGATCGGAGGCCAAGATTGGCCACTTCTTGGACTTCGAAAATCCGGGCCTACAGGACCCGGTTTTGTAATTGCGGGGCAAGGCCCGCCCCCACGAGGCCTCCACAACACATACGCGCCGCCAAAAAAAAATTTTCAGGCCCCAGCAAAAATGCGCTGGGGGCGACCGGGAGGGAACCAGCCCGGGGCACCGCCCGGTCCAACTGGGAGGACCACGGATGATGTAGGGGTCCCCGGTCCATCCGGGGACCGGCCCTGAATCATCATGAAAATTGAAGTATTGTTTTCGCTCTACAGTGACTCTACACTGTCAAAGCCCCACTGTCAAAGTCCACAACCAAATTGAAGGAAATTAATCATCATGAAAAGTGAAAAGTATTTTTTTTGCTCTGCACTCTGGGCAGCCTGACCCATTTCGCACTGTCCGGTGTCCGTTTCAGGCTGTCAGCGCTAGTCTTGATTTCTTTCTTTTCTTGTATTATCGAGTTCTTTGTGGTCTTCTCAGTGGACCGATACAGTAGACACATTCCTGATTTTTTTTTCAAGTTTTTTTTTTTTTTTAAGAGAACGACCTGGTCTTAGCTCCATTCTATTCTTGGGAGCGATGATCCAGTTCGTTTTTCACCAGCAAGGCATATGAACAGTGAAAAGGCGATCCAGTCTTTGTAAGGCAACTCAGTGCCTCTCCCGATTATGGTCAAGGGAACTTCTGACAGCATGGATTAGTCCCAGCAGTCAGGTTCTTTTCGTTTTCGTTTTTGTTTTTGTTCTTTTTTTGACGGCCTCGGTGGGATGTGAGAGGGGGGGGTGGGGTGATATGAGCAGCCCTCCCTAGCGACCCAGCCTGCGGTTGCTCCAGTCTATTGCTGGGGAGTTTCACCTGCTGGAAACCGGGTCCAGCATCCCATAGATATTATTATACATGGATCCAGCAGGGAGGGCTTGACCCAACCATTGAACAATGCCCCTTTCTATCTACCTCAGAGAGTCTGAATCCTTTTTTTTTTTTTTTTCCTTTTTAATTTGGACCATTTCTCGACTTATGTGTGTCATCCTTGCCCAGGGGCCGTGCTAATCTCCTCTGTATTGTTCCAGTTTTTTAACAGATGTCATCGCAGGACTCTGGCCCACAATCCTAAACCCTTGAGCAAACACACTTGGAAGGCCAAACCTCCTTCAGTTCCTCTCAGGAATTTTATTCCTTTCTTTCGTTCTGCAAGGAACCCAGTCAAAAGAACCGAGTAAAAAAAAAAAAAAAAAAAAAAAAAAGGAACCGAGTCAAAATCTGCGCAGAAAAGGTCTAGGGTCGTCGATTTCGGTCGAAGTCCAGCGTCAGGGGTCAAAAGTTGCATGCTCAGCCCAAGAAGGGCCTCAGAAAGTCCATGGGTGAATCAATAGGTACTGCGTCAAGAGTTAAATAAGGCACCCTTGTTTGCCCCAGTTGAGCCCGACTTCCGCATTTCATGCGGTCAACTACTGGTTACCCGGTGCACAGGGTGCCTTATTTGACTCTTGCATGTTCAGCTCTGGGGAATCGGTAGTTCACCGCAGGAAAGTCAGAAGTCAGGCCCAATTGAGGCCAAGCAGTCAAAGAGTCAGAGGTTTCTCAG